TTTTTTTTTTTTTTTTTTTGTATTTGGCCTTCCTTTGGCAGGGGCCCCCCATGATGCAAGTTCTTTAGGGTAGTGAATCTGTTCCCATGTCAAACAGGGCCAATGCCAGCAGCATGGGGTCCTAAGGCGCTCTGACACTTTGGATCACTTAGAAAGACTCCCAAGGACTAGCAATAGCTCACATCATCTAAATAGTGGTAATCATTCTAATTCCTATGCAGAACAGCTGCCTTGGATGGGCAGACACAGGCAGCCACTCACCCCAGAAGCGGCACTGTGACAGTGGCTCTCAATCCGTGGGAGGACAGGGACGGGGAGTCATGAGTAGGGAAGGGGGAGTTGAAGCCCTGTGTCTATAGCTGGTTTACTACTGGTGACTTGGGTTTTACTTTGTGGCTGTGACTTTCAACGTCTAACCTGTCCTCCTACATTGTCATGACACAGTGCGACGGCTAAGAGCTTTGGATCCAGGGCCAGGCCCCAGTGCTGATACTACTAAGTATGATGTGGGTGTCCTTAGGCCAGTAACTTTCCCACCCGAGTCCCATTTTCCTCATCCGTAAAATGAAGGTGAATAACACTCTGAGGGTTGTCATGGGAAATACAAGAGATAACATAAAGGAAGGGTGTACACAGTGACCTGTAAAGGCTCAGTAAGAGGTAGTCAGCCCAGTAGGGGCCACAGCAAGCCACCCCTGCTGGCTCTGGGGGAGTTACTGTAGGATGCAGATTCTCACAGCTGCTCTTCTACGGAGACTCAGTAAGCAGTCCCTACAGCTTACACCAAAAGTAACAGCACAGGAGTCTCTCATCAGCACCAAAGACTGCATTGCCCACGTAGCATGGGCCAAAGTGCCCACTTTCAGCTAGAACTAAAGTTGTTAGTTGACCCAATGATTTTGGTAGAGCTACCCCTTTACTTCCTTAATGCTCTGAGAGGGTTTATAGTATTTGATTTGGGTCACAGGGTATATGTTGGTAGGGAACATCATAGACGCTAAAAAGCTTTTCAAATTTAGGATTTCCAATTGATAGCTGCAGGGGGAAAGACCTAGAAAATACCAGAATAAAGTCACATAAGGGAAAAAAAAAAAAAAAAACACCAGACAAAAAAACACAAACTTGGGTATAGAGAGAACCAGATGAAAGAGGTTTTGCTGTTTTTAAACACACACAAAATCAATTGGGTCTTTGGAGGTGACACAAAGTGTTGAGGCAGTGGGGTTCCCCCTGGGAAAAGGGAAGCTAATTGAAGTTCTGTTAGGGCTGCTATTTCACCTCAGCCAAGCAAGGCACAGGAAATAGAACTGGTTATTACCTACCTACCAACGAGCACACCTGCACCTTCTTTCAGGTACAGCTCAAGATAGACATATTAGCACTATCAGGATTTTACTGTCCTTTTCCCTACGTCCCACAGACAGAATTTTCAGATACACATTTTACAGTCCAGAATCTGCACACTGTTTGCTCTGGGAACAGTGGGCCCATGATGTCATTTAGGATCACTGTCATCCCCGGTAGATAATGCCATCACCCTCATCGCCATTCTCAGAAAACCTCAGTAACTCAGTCAGGGAGACGGTCAGTAAACAGCAGAGCCAGAATTTTATCCTGACACCCCAGTCCACTGCTGCCTCTAAACAAAGAGAGAGAGAGAAGTGGGTGATGGTTCTGAGGAATTTCAGTTGTTAGAGATGAGCCTCATTGCAGGGCCCACTCGTGGTCTACGATTCGAGTCACAGCAACAGTACCCCAGAGTTGGGAGCTTTGGCTAACTGGCTCGTCCGTGATGGGGGCTGAGCACCACGCTCTCCCTGATGCCTAATTCTGGGGTACCCTAGGAGCGTAGTGCCTAAGGCACTTGACTACTAACCAGAAGGCTGGTGGTTCAAACCCACCAGCCACTCCTTGGAAGGAAGACTGGGCAATCTACTTCCGTAGTGATACTGCCTCGGAAAACCAAGGAGGGGTTGCTATGAGTCGGGTCCGACTTGACGACACATAACAACAAGAACATATTTAGAGACTAAAATAAAGGCCTGCAACTATTTACCTCTTCCTGCTAAAACCTTTTCTGTTATATACGTTGAAAGTCAGACCCATTAAAGAAAACTATAATCTATACCTCTGTGCAAGACACATACATCCCTTTTCTAATCTCTACCTTTAAAAGTACTTTAGTAACGTCTGCTGTTTTAAAGCTTTGCTATTTCATGATCAGATTCAGCTTGTCCTCAAGAATGCAGAACAAATCCAGTGTGAACTGGCTGGCAGGCTGAAGCCTTCTGGTGAGGCAGCCCATTACTGGGGCTCAGGGGAGACTCCAGAAGAGAGAGAGCAGGTAAGTCTGATACCTTGCTGTAATGAGGAGTGCCAGCACTTCTTCTCCAATGCCCTCCACGTCTACCACCAGGGCCAGCTCGTATTTCTGCACAGTGTTGGAGCATAAGGTCACCTGGGGGGGGGGGGGGAGAAAAAGTGAAAAGCTGCTCTTTTAAAAGGCCAGCTGTCCCTGGGACACAGGGGAGAAAGGACCCAGGAGAAGATTAGGGGTCACTGTGATTTCTAAGAGTTTTATTTGATGTATTGGGTTTTATATTTGTAGTAGAACAAGTTACATTCCAGAGTCAGGGACTGTTGAGTTTCTTTAAAGGCCAGGATAGAAACCAAATGGCATTAAGTACAATGTTGTGTTGTTGTTGTTATGTGCAATAGGTTTGCTTATTTCTGGGGAGGTTGTATCAAAGAAGCCATCCACTCACATGAAGGGAGAAAAAGACCACCAAGGATGCACGGTATCAAACAAACCTCAGTGCTCACAATTTATATTCTTTCCTAATGTCTCTGGGCCATGTGAATAAGAAAATTCAATAAACTGATTTTTTTTAAAAAACTACAGCTAAATTGATCTTTTAGCAAAATAAATGAACATAATCACGTGACTTCCGGAAACCTGATTAGAAGAACTTGAAGATCAATTAGACAGCCTCTGTTTTACTCAACATCTTACCCTGATCCCCACGCTCACTGTTAGAAAAGAAAATGGTAAGCTCCTAAGAAGGCCTACCTGAGGTGCTATCTGGCCGGACATGGCTTTTAGTTGCTTTTTCGAAATTCTACATTTAGGTTTTTGAAAGCCTTGTTACAATTTTTAATTGCTTTAAAATGACTTGTACTGGAGGTGATACTTATAATTGCAGAAAGCAGCTTCTGGCATGGGCTAAGGCTCTTCTGTCCATAAATTATGTATCAGACACAAATTAACATTTTTCAGGTTGCAAAGGGAATCACTGGATGCAAATTTGAGTCCACACAGACCTGGTTAAAGCCAGGATTGGGAAGGAAAGCAGAAGCCTGGTGGAAGCTTTCCTGAATATAAAAGAAAAATAAAGGGGAGGTGGGGTCATCGATTGAGAAAAAAAAAACTTGTCAGATTTGGAGAGAAGCCACTGCGCCAGCTGCAGACCCCCAATGCAGCTGCAGCGCCACGTTCCCCTTGCTGCCTAGGGTCAGAAGGCAGAGAGAGCAAGGCATCTGGCCAAAAGCTGCTGGAGACAGGCTGCGCTCCCATGCCAGCTGGGAGCGGCAAGACCAAGAAAAGGAAAACCGGGTCACACGAAGGCTGAGCATTACTAAGTAAGGGATGAACAAATCCGCCGCAGCAGCTCCTCTCACTGTGACAGTCACAGCAACTCTGAGAAGTTACAAGGACATGTAATATCAAACCTCCCCAGCCCACAGAAAAGCCCAAAGGAGGGCAGGGAACACCCGGAAGGGATTTAGGATGAGGAGATTCATGGTTAGATGTTACAAAGCATTTAAATCAAATTCTGGGGACAAAACAATAATCAGGTAACTATTCCAGATAATGACAAAAGAGATAATGACCAACTTTAGCCAGAAATTGTTGTCTTCCCCCCCACCCCCCGCCGAGAGTACAAAATCATTTCAATGTAATGTGGCAGTCAATACTTCTAGACCTGTTTGGAGAAGCAAAAAGGAGTGAAGGGAGACAGCTAAAACCCTTCTCAGTTAAGCAGGAAATTACTCCGCTGGTGGCACCACCCTGATTCCAGACAGAGCACAGAAAGGTGAATACAGAGCGTCCTCGCCGCCATTCCTGTAGACCTAAACATAACCTGCCGTTAGCGACAGCACCTCCACGCTGGCCTTGACGCAAGACTCTACTACTATAAACCTCAGTAAACTACATGTCATCTGTGCTGTAAATATGGACATTGATTGGTATGAAGTTTTTGAGTCTGAAGGACAGGAGAATCTAGTCCTCGATGAGTTCTCACATTTTCTTACATTAGTACTGATGGGTATTCTGCCGGAATAAAGCACTGGTTTCACTAAAGAGAAGCAGATTCCGTATTCTGGTGAAGGCAAGGCATCTAGACTGATGGAAATCCACTGGTGTAACGCGAATTCCTTTGCCCAACATATTTGTACCTGGGTTCCTTCGCTGTGTAACTGATTTAACTTTATAGGGTTTTATATGTGAATTGCCAGGCATGCCCTCCCCACGACACTGAGCAAACCCTAGATGTGGTTAGGAGAGCTATTTGAGAATTTAAGTGCTGGGTTGTGTGTGCTGGGTGGCTGTGAACTTTACCCGAACAGCAGCAAACCCCTGGGGACGAATGGTGCCACAGCTGGGCATGATGGTGAATTCTCTTGGTTTCATTGCTGGTATTTCTTCTTTGTTCCAAAATGTCTTTTTGTTGCCTGAACACTGCTCACAATTTGAAATGCTTTTACGCCCAAGGCCATCCCCAGGGACACGCAGTTTGAAGGTCATGGGGACCAAGGAGGTATTGTTGAGGGAACAGATCAAGGTGTGAGGAAACCCTAGAAAACAAAGTAGGAGGTGAGAACTAACAGCACCACTGTAGTCTCTTCCCTTGGCCCTGGGAACACCCCGCAGTTAGCTGCCACCTGGTTGACTGTGACTCATGGCGACCCCATGTGTGCAGAGTCGAACTGCTCCACTGGGTTCTGGGAAGCAGATCACCAGGCCAGGATGGGTTCGAGCCTTCTGGCTAGTAGCTCAGCGTTTAGGCATCTGCACCCCCCAAGGCCTCCTACACTGCCCCCCTAGCAACTACCAAACCTCTTGAATGAGCTGTCTCCACAATTCATCACTATTTCCCGAATGCCAACTCACACTAAATACTATTTTCGACCACACACTCAACAAATACATTCTCATTCATTCATTCAATATTTATTATGCATTTACTATGAAGTAAGTTAAACAGTAGACATAAAACCAGGCCCAGAATCGTCAAGAGGCAGCATTTGTTGTCAGTTTGCTGAAGACTCTTTGAAAAGTATACTTTCCATTTTTTTTAAAACAAAAACAGTTTTTTTTCCCCCAAAAAATGGAATCATGCTTGATTTGCCAACGTATAATAGGAGACGCTTGCATGGGTTTGCCTGTTTTGTGACCCAGAGCCAGGCAAGACATTACAAAGTTCATCCCAGACCTGCTTGAGGATCATGCTCTCAGGGTCGATGATGCAAAATTGAGTAATAGCCTCTCCCAAGAGATTCAATCTGCCTTTGAACCAGCCAGGCACCAACACTCCAACTTTCACCTCACTCAGACAAGCTGCTTCTTCCTCTGTGTTAAATCTAGCCCTCTCATAGTCAGCTCAGTGAGCTTCACGTTCCTTTTTTTTTTTCCTTGTGATTTGGGTGAAAATTTACAGAACAAATACACTTTCCATACAGCAGTTCACATACACTTTGTCTCATGACATTGACCACAATTTACTACAATGCAACATCTCCCCTCCTACTTCCTCCTGATAGTTACCTCTCCCCTGTGTCCATCCCTCCATGCACTCCTGACCCCTGAGCTGTCTCCCTGTGCATACATAGCCCTTCCTTC